TCACTCTATTGACTTGGAGTGAATCACTCTTACTCGCTAAAATAGGTATCTTCATCAATCTCAAGAGTCTCTCTCAGTTTCTCCAAAAATCTCTCGACCTAGCCCATGATTGTGATATTTATACAGTAGTCATTGATGTTTCCCTTCTTCCTGAAAAATTCAGTATTTATTCTGGCAATAGTCAGACTGAGATTCTAATGCACTTCGTCATTCCAAGTGACCTGCTTCAAGTTGATGCTCTAAAACCAATCCTTTTTATTCATCTCCTCCATCAGATTGTGATCCTCCTCATCAATCTGCTGGTTAGTGGACTCACCTCTCGCACTCTCATCATCCTCCTCTTAATCTACTTCACTCTCACCGTGCCCTACTCTCTTGTAGCGACCTCTCTTTCTGAGTTCTTTCTTAAAGCGGTCAAGTACATTCTAGTCTGTCTTGTCGTCAAACCTTTCAATTTATCCTGGCAGTTCTACTTTGTTTCTGAGTATAGTCAATCCTTCCAGATGTTTCGCTATAAATGCTGAGGAGATTTTCTCTTTCCTAATTTTTGCAGCATTGATTTCAATCAGTTGCTTGATACTCCTAATCAGTTTCTCGCCCTTTTTCATGTGAATCTAGTTGTTTTTCTTCTCTTTTATAACACATGCCTCACCTTTGAGATTGATTTTGTCAAAAGCGAAGGGATTCTCTCTTATTTCATCTACTTATTGCAGTAAGTAATCCTTGTATAGTCTTGTTTAAGGTAAGATATTGATGGCGATTTCATAGGGTAAGGTGGAGCCATTATCCTTTGAGACTAAATTCACAAAGCTTCTAATCTTAGGGAGGCAGTTTTACTTGCTGTTTACATCTGGGGTGCTGTAATAAGGAGATATAATAAGGCCTAGAAATGATTGGCCCTCCTACTGAAACATCTTTTGGTAAGCATTGTGATTATCTACATCGATATGAGAAGGATTGACCTCGAATTTCGGATGACTATGATACCAACCTAGAATATGCATCCCTTTTTGTTATATTTCCTATACTCTAGTCATTGAATGCTCTGGATGCATTTCAACATTTTTACTATAGTCCACTCTACCATAGTCATCCAGAAGTGCTTGAACAGTTACGGTTTCTGAAATAATATAGATATCTTTATTGGTCTTCTTAGTCTTGACTCTGAATCCAGTTACAAATCCTATTACTTCATTTCTATGCATACTTGCATGGCATGTCATTGTAATCAAAGCCTCCAAAGTTATGAAAAGTACTATTGGCTAGTGCATTTCCGTGAGATATCTCTGGCACTCGACAAGTTCATGCTAATTGGATGCTCTCATTGAATCATCTGGATCCTTAGCTGAGAGATTCATTTATATACTAGCATTTTATGCAGCCTATCTCCTGGGCCTAGTGTCTCTTGCCTATAATGCCTTATTCCTTTCCTACTGCTTTTTAGTCTCATTTCTAACATAAGCCTTTTCTTTGGCCTCACTCGAATAATGTCTCTATTCAGGGTTACTCTAACCAAGCATCTTCCTCATACTCTAAATCTACTCAATGCTAAGCATCTTTTGCAATGGATACTTATAGAAATTTAATAAGTCTGGGAACTTTTCCTTATTCAAAACATGCCACCAAGGCTCCTCTCCCTCTTTAGGATTATAATAGTCCTGATTCTTGTCGAGCTACATCACCTTCCTTTCCTTTTCCTTTTGCTTTCTCTCTTTTTCCTATCTTTTCAATTCAGCCTTAGTTGTTTTAATTTTAGCATCAATTTTCATAGGCTTTTGCACTTCAATAAGAATCTCAGAGCTATATGGATCAATGATAGTGGAGGGATCACGATTATGAAAATACAAATTAGCAGCACTCAGATCTAGTATGGTCTTTTGATTCTACAACTTCCATAATTCTCTGATGCGCATTACGCTCTCTTTACATTCATTAAAGGTGTCTTCATTAAAGGGTACAAACTAATTACAAGCAGGCTCATCGTAGCCTTAACCACTAAACAGTGGCTTCATTGGAGTTGCTGACGAGGTAGAATGAGTTGAGTTTTAAGATATGATCTCATTTGGATTAGCTAAATTAAAGACCCCAGGACTTGTGGACAAATTCGGTATCGCTTAATGCTTTATTCCGATCGGTAAGTGCAGAGATTATATATCATTATCACCACATTTTTCAGACGTATCAATAGTTGAATCAGCCTCTCTAGTTTTAATGGATATCTATGAACTAGTATTACTATCAGAGCCAGAATCAGATGTTGTATATTGTGACTCTTTCCATACAGATACGATCTCACTGTCCTCTTCCTACATTTCAACTTCAGCCTCAGCGATCGCTTCACTTTCTTAATCTGCTTAATTTTTACAACTGTCATCTTGCTTCACCACAATATTTGACTCATTTTTAATTGAGCCGAATTCATTTGTGCTCGAGTCTGAATTTTCTTCTTATTTTTTAATTAAAATATCTGTCATCAATTCACTTATTAGACTCAACTTAAATAGATTTAAATATTGTTTCAAACTTTCAAAACTAGTGTTAATTAATAGATAGGGGTTTTGGGGTTTTGGGG